TCAGCGGTAAGGAGACTTTGGGTACGTCTTCACTACCCGCCGCATCGGCGGGTAGTAATCGATCTGTCGGGGATCGATTTATTGTGTCTCGTCTAGACGCGATACATCGATCCCCGAACGCGCTCCCCGTCGACTCCGGAACTCCACCAGGGCGAGAGGCGGAAGCGGAGTCGATGGGGGAGCGGCGGCCGTCGATCCCACGCCGCGAGGACCAGAGGTAAATCGATCTAAGATATGTCGACTTCAGCTACGCTATTCTCGTAGATGAAGTTGCGTATCTTAGATCGATCCCCTCCCTCCCCCCCAGTGTAGACCAGCCCTAAGCAGAAGAACTTTAGCCTGGTTGCTAGAAGCTGCCTCCCTGTTAAGAGATCTAGAATTTGTCCCCTTCTTATTCCATTACTTAAGGCCCTTGGTTGTAGCCACCCATCTGGCTGCTTGAGAGCAGTGCAGGGTTGTGCTGGGCCTGCCTGTCTCCCCCGTGCACTGAGCACAGGATGCTCAAGGCTTGGCTTGTGACCAGCCATTTCCTATGCTCAGGCAGTGCCTTTGAATGTCAGATCAGGCCCTTTTTTTCCTGCAGCTGTTGTACATGTTCCTTAGGAACAGGCAGATGTAAAAAGCTCGCATGATGGGAGGGGAATTCTGACTCGGGCGTGCATGTAATCCAGAGTTTAGCACAGAGGTGACTAATTCTAGTGCAATGTAATTGCACAGATCAACAAAAAAGATACCGTGCTCTTTCCTTTAAAAAGAGACCCGTCTCCCCTCCTTTCTGCTGCAGGAGCAGCCAGCGCACCAGTCTCTGTGTTAGTAATATGTTGGCTTAGTAGCAAGCTATATGCATTTCTTAGACACATGGCACCTTTGTATCCAGGTGATGAGTGATAAGGGCAGCATTGTCCAAGTTGGCACCCAAAATAAGAGGCAGCTTCGTAGCACTTCTGAAAATCAGGCCACTTTATTTTGGGTGCCCAAATACAGATCTAGGCGCCCTTCTGTAACGGCTCGACCACCTCTAGATTTGCTGTGAAAGGCAGGCGTATGTCCCGGCAGGTTGCACTGGGGCTGCTCCCAACCTCAGCCTGTTATGAAGTTAACAATACGTTGGAAGCTGTTCTGGGCCAAGCCCTGGCTAGGGCACTGTTGAAGGTGGACCAGGGTGGGTTTCTAGAGTGCTGTTGAGAATGTCCCTTCCAGAACCTAGGTCCGATCTGCTGCAGGCGCTGTGTTGGGCGTAGCACTCACCCACAGAAGGAGGTAACAGCTGGGGCCTCATCTGCCAAGTACATCCTAATGTTCCACAGATATCTAAGTCATGTGGAAATGCCAAAGAGCAAAAGAGCAGCTGTGGCAGAGAACCAGGGAGGTTATGGAGAATCTGTTTCCTTTCAGAGATTTTTCAGTTTGAAATACGACAAGGCGTGGACATGAAATCCAAACAACACAGCACAACGTAGACGTCTACCAGCCAGAAAGTGACACCTGCTGCTTTAATACGTAGCTACATATACCCAGACCACCCCCGCCACCTTCCAAAGGATCCCTTGTTCACCCTACTCTAGATTCTGTTGTTAAGAGCGGGCTATTTTGGACCGCAAACCTCAATGGTGGTACTTGAGAATATCAGCATTCCCAGCCATCCCCTGCTAGCATATTGTGCTGGGCTAAATCCATGGAAATTGAGTGTAATGAGTTTATTTTCTGGCAGCCCTGGAGAGTAGAAGTCAGAGGAAATATGGAGGGCTCTGCACCCCTTGCTCTGAGTTTGGAAGAACCTGTTGCTTGTTTGTGTTGTCGCTCCTTGGCAGAGACTTTCTGGCTCATAGGTTGGACCTTCAGTAGCTTGGGCCCGACTTGAGAGCATCTCTGGCCACTTACACATGCTGATGCTCTGTTTCCAGGCGCAGCTGAGATAATCGTACGGGTGGGTTAACTGCACAATTGTACACCCACTTGGGGTGAAATTCCTCAGGTGAGGAGGCCCAGTGAAAGGCCCTCCCTGCAGTTTAAGCCCTTAGAGAAGAGGGCCTGGCTGAGCAGATGTGCTATGGAGACCCCTGCATCTGCTGTTATGGAAGGGATCTCTGTGCCAGCCCCTCGTAGGCCAGCGCAAAGGGCATAGGTGGGGGAGGACCAGGTTCCAGGAGGCGCGAGATGTACATTGATCCCAGGGCCCTAGTGGAATGTGCAAATAGGGCCTGCCCTGAAGCCCTCAACACAGAGACTCTTGCAGGCTTCAATGAGCTGTGGATCAAGCCCATAGCATGGAGCAGAAGCCCTGTGGAGGCGATGCACTGCAGCCCTTTGCTTTGGCCCCAGGACCAGAGCAGGATTTCCCCACCTCTGCACTTCACCCTCATGAACCTCAGTTCTCCAGTTTAATGAGTCCCATCTCTCATGTGCTGAGTACTAAAGTCCAGGCCCATGGACTTGCGATGTATATCCTGAATGCTATGTATTTATTTTGGACATTGATTCTGTAGCTGGTTAATAATTGCTGCGGGGTTTCTGAATGGCAGGGGTGCAGGTGGAAGGGCTTGTCTACACAGAGACGCTAATTCAGATTAAGGTAGGGTGTGAGGCTGGGTCTACACTACCCGCCTGAATCGGCAGGTAGAAATCAACCTCTCGGGGATCGATTTATCGCGTCCCGTCGGGACGCGACAATCGATCCCCGAATCGACGCTCTTACTCCACCAGCGGAGGTGGGAGTAAGCGCCGTCGACGGGAAGCCGCAGACGTCGATTTTGCCGCCGTCCCTACAGCGGGGTAAGTCGGCTGCAATACGTCGAATTCAGCTACGCTATTCGCATAGCTGAATTTGCGTATCTTAAATCGACTCCCCCCTGTAGTGTAGATGTAGCCTGAGTTTAAAGTGGAATTGCTATTCTTGATTAACAAAGTGGATTAAGCTTTTAGAGTTAGGCACTTTTATTCCAGAATAACAACATCCACACAGAAGAAGTTCATTAGGAATCGTTAGGAATAACTCCCCCGTGTAGACAAGCCCTACGTGAGTGGTGGGGTGGATACAGCTTGTACATATCTGGTAGACCTGTTGATCACTTGCTCAAATTCCTTGTCTAATTGTAGATCGACAGGACAGAGACGGCCGTGAATAACCTCAACCCAGCCTTCTCCAAGAAGTTCGTCGTCGATTACCACTTTGAAGAAGTGCAGAAGCTGAAGTTTGCTCTCTTTGACCAGGACAAGTCGAGCATGCAGCTGTATGAGCATGACTTCCTGGGAGAATTCTCCTGCACCCTGGGCACGGTGAGTCTACAGCAACGCTGCGCCCCAGCAGCTAGCAGACACTTGTGTGGCTCCCTCGGTCAGAAGGATCCGTTACACCAAAAATCACAACCGTGTTTAGGTTACACCCAGTCCCAAAGGAGCAGTCACTTACCACAGGTCAATTGCAGCTTAGATCGCACACAAACGTCAATGCTTGCAGCCAGTGCTATAATAAACCGTCCTAAGATTTATTAACTAGGGAAAGGAAATAAGATCGTTATTTACAAGGTTTAAGCAAGTAAACACACACACACAAATGAGTTAGTTTTAAGTTCTAAAAGGTAATGGAAGTGTCTATAATAAGCAAGATCTATGTGTCCCTTAGGGCTAACCCAGGCTAAACACTGGGGGTTTCTTGCTTCTGCCTAGAAAACCTTGCCCTCGAGAGCCCAAGCAGCATAGAGATAGTTTCTTCTTATTAGGGATTTTTATTCCCTTTCCCTGACCAGCCTTCCCAGCTGATGGAAGGGAATTCACTTGCATGTTTCCTCTTCCTGGGGGGCGTGAGAGAGCAATCAGCAAGGCTTTTGTCCTCTTTAATGTTCCACAATAGTTCGCCTGGCATTGATGGACCCTCTCTGTTGGGCAGGAAGTAATACCTTCTGCTGGAAGGTGGCATTTCACACTAGTTAACATCTTTCTTCCACTAGATGATTTACACCATTACAAAGGACTGCCATGCAAACACTTAAATATTCCTTTTATAACATGGGCTACAGATGTTATAAGTGAGATTATGAAATGCTTGTCAATTGCTGCATGCATTAAAGTCTAATCACTAAACACATTCTTATCATTCTAATACCTATTTTAACTATACTAACACACAGGTGAGCCAGACTGGTTCCCGCTATGTATTTGTCAGAGTTCAGTTGAGACCTAAGGGCCTTGGCATGAGCTGGCACCTCATCTGCCAGCGTCACAACCTCCACATCCACCTGCTGTAGCCTAGACTGTAAGCTCTTTGATGGCAAGACTGCCTTTTCCATAAGGCCAGGCCTACACAACAGAAGGTTTGCTGGTATAACTCTATGGCAAGCCCTGCTAGCTTAGAAACAGTTTATACCAGCAAAAAGTGCATGTGCTGGTATAGTTTATACCGGTTCGGCAAGTGAAATAAGTTACATGGGCAAAACACATTGATGCTGGTCAAAGCTGGTGCAAGGAAGTTTTGCGCCCTAGGCGAAACTTCCACCTTGCGCCCCCTACCCCCGTTGCAGCTAACCTAGGGTTACCATCCGTCCGGGTTTCCCTGGACATGTCCGACTTTTTCAGTGTTAAATGGCCATCCAGGGGGGATTTCTAATCAAGTAGAAATGTCCGGGATTTCCCCCTTCCCCTCGTGCGGCGCGGCTGATTGGACGCCTGGCCTGACTGAAAGCCCCTCGCAGCCACTAGGGCCT